AAAATGCCCCCAAATTGAATATTGAATGTTTATATCCTAAGCTGGAGGGATGGTTTCTAGCACTCTTGTGGCCCTTCATAGGATAAGTGATTTGGAAAATGCATGGATTGTGATATGATAGGCCTGTAGTTAAGTAATATCACCCGAGTAAGCTCTTCTTCCTATATAGCAGCACAAAGCCAACTGTGATATGATTTTATACAACAGTTCAATAAGCAAAAAGTTAAGATATTATAAAAAGTTAAATATTAAGTGACTTACATTTTAGTATTGTCTGTTTCCACTCTTTCACAAATGAAATTAATTGGTTACCAGGACGTATTAGTTACTTTTGTTATTTTTTTATTCTAATGTTTAACCCTTAAATGCATGAATGTTTCGCCAATCATTATTACATTCAGACATATGCACAAATATACATGAATATATGTGTATAAATCATACCTGTGTTCAACTGAATATCTACATTATGTTTACACTGAGATATTTACACAGTTCCATACACCTCAGAAACCACCAGTAACAACCTTCTCCATAACACGCACCATTCTCTCTGGATAGAAAGTCTAGCATTGGATAAGAAAAAAACATTTTTGTGTCATGTTGATTTGATGGACAAGTTTACAATTGGAGAACTGGAACTCTAGTGTTAACATGATGTAGATAAATGCAGTCAGATGTTTGGAAAATATTAGTTTTTCTAAAATATGTTATTTTGAAAAATCACAGGTTCTGTAGAAATGTGTCCGTCACAAGATGATTTGAAAATCCAGTGTCTCCTGGGACAATATGTGTGATTTATAACTGAGACATGCATCTTTTTTTCCATCTACAAGCCTGGTTTAGTATATCACACCTCTCTTGTAGTGCGTTTTTTCTTCATGATGTTATTCACGGTTGTCAATTAATATTGTAACACCAATTTTGATACAGATTGTCCGAACACCCTTTTTTTTTTTTTTTTACCTATAAGCACCCTTTGCCACTGTACTACAGTTTAATATGCTCCATCAAAATTTACCACACTCTGAAATTTCATGCAATTTACATTTTGTAAAATGTTTAAATTGAATTAAAAACAGTTATGAATAGTTCTTATGTTACCATCAAATCCCAATGGATTTTCATACCATCCAAGCAATGCATACCACTAACTACTATCTTGTTTTTGAAAACCCTGTATTTGAAAGAAAAACAAAACAGCTATTTAATTTGATATGGCATCCTAATAGTGCAGTGCTCATGGTGTGAGATGCTGAAAAACATCAAGGCAATACAGTCTCAAAGATATCAGTCTGCATGTGCACATACAGTGGGGCAAAAAAGTATTTAGTCAGCCACCAATTATGCAAGTTCTCCCACTTAAAAAGATGAGAGAGGCCTGTAATTTTCATCATAGGTATCTAAAAAATATTTTTGATAAGGCTGGATATTTCCCTCCATGTGGTTTAGTTCAGCCCACTGGTAATTTATCCTCAAAACATTTTTTAAAGAAAGACAGCTAACAGAAATAAGTCCTCAATTGTATGCACACAATATTTTTTTATCGTAGCAAGATGTGAACAATTGACAAAATGACCAAGCAAATAATATTCTACTTCTTTGTGACCCAGTGCAGTGTGCTTTAAATTTCAGGGGAGTGTCTCAGTCATGACGTACAGTACAGGAAAGCAACCTGTCTACAAGACAAGTTAAAGATGGATCCGCTACACAAATCTACCAGCTTGTCAGAACATTTTTGTTTGTCAGTCAACAGCTAAAGCACCAACAAGTGCAAAATCGTCAAACATAACAGGCCCTTCTCAGAAGGAGAGTTCCAAGAACTTATGTTTAGCTGTGCAGTTACCTTGAGAGCACGCTTGAAAACATTATCTCATACAGAGCCACAGGATCCCAATTAGAGTCACATATTGCTTATCATAAGAAAACCAGGAAAAACAACCCATCCATGGTAATAGGGACAAAGTCTGAAAGGGTTAATTCAAACAAAAATAGCATTAACCTCCACAAAGTGTTTTAAAACTGTTAAGACCCTGAGCCAATCCACAGCTGATTTAGGAGCTTTAAAATTGAACCTGGCATACCACTTTTAGTGTGTGGACATGCGCTTATGCTCTGTAGGGACTTTAAAAGTGATTATAGTGGGACAAGGCTAAAAAGATGGGGTAGTTACACTGCCCTGTGGTTTAGTTTACTCGGATAAAGAAATCAATGATTATGCAAAAGTTCAGTCATCGATTTTTTGCAGTTCAGTTCAAGTAGTTCTGACATAGGTGCTTAATAGGAGACAAAAAACATTCAACCTGAATCTTTGAGAACCAAAAATAAATAAATAATAATAATAGTAATACGCAATATCTGTCCTAACTTACCCTCATGAAATTCCAAACCTCAATGCCTTTCTTTTCTTTTCTTCTGTGGAACAAGAAAGAAGATATTTTGAAGAATATTGGGCTTCAAACTGTTTTGGTGCTCAATGACATTCATTAGACAAAAAAAAAAAGACTATTCTCAAAATACTGCTTCCGTTAGAAATTTAAAACAGTCAGCCTGTGTGCTCTGATGTTCAGTGTTAGTCACGACAGTATTAAACTAATACTCCGTTTAATTGTGACTTTTGTCTCATCTACTATATGCAGAATGATCGGATGTTTATGATAGACCACATCTTGTGAAATTCCTTTGATGGGATTGTTTCAGACTACATCTCTTAATTCTCATGCGGATGTCAGGCATGCAGATATATCATGATAATGAGAAGTTGTTAATGCAGTATCTACATATTTATATCTATGCTGAAGTCAATTAAAAAGCTCACAGAAAGGAGAGAATTGATAAAATTGTCATGTAATACTGAATTACAACCTAACCCTAACAAACATTAAAATTGGACATCAGAGAACAAAAAAAATAATAAATGAATGAATGTGCATGTGGATACATTTGAAATTACATTTTATGTTACAGTATATTAAGAAAAATAATTTGTATTCACAGACTCAAAAATTATGCAGTACCTTTAAGGTACAGGTACCAATTTAAGTAAAAACTGAACAACAAATCGGCTATTTATTTTTGCCACCAGAGACAGAGGTTGAGAAGACTGTTGTAGGCTAGAGTACATAAATTAGATCAAACAAAACTTGTGTATGCTGGTGGGGTTATGACAACCTTAACCGCACACGGACACTGGCCTTTACAACTTGTATAAATGCATAGATAGGCCAAAATGCAATGGACTGCAAAGCGGCGGTGCAAACTAATTCTCTACTGTGGCCTATTAAGGAGCAAAAGCCCAACATAGCATAAAACACCCACTTTGTAAAGGCGCTTGTGGTATGGTGATCCTGAACGTCCCGTATTCCCAAGCCTCTGCTTGATTTAAAAAACAAATTGCTGTTTCAGCTTTTTCCCCCTCTCAGCCTATTTCTCCAGTCTCTAGGTGGATTTAATATCTCCCCCGAAGGATTGTTTTGAAGGAAGGCTAACCTTGGTGCTAGCTTTGAGAAAAGTTCCCAGTGCAGTCCATTAGCGTCTTGTGAATGGCGTTAACCCAGTACAGCCGAGCTAAACGTTCAAATGGCTCTAGAGAGGTCCTGGTAGATCTTCTACCTCTTACACATTAATAAAAAGTTGCCTTCACTCCAAGGAGCTTTTAAAAAAGTTGCTCTCTATTGTTCCGCTTTTTAAATCAATAAATCATATGCTCAGCTTGTGAGAGTTTCTTGAATATTTAATAGAAATGGCTTGTTTCCTTTTATCTTCCGGCTCTCGCAAGAGAGATCAAGAAATCATGGCTAACCATTGACTCGGCATTGTTTCCTTTTATCAGTCCGATCTGAAGCAAGACAAGTCTGAGTTGAAAGCATTGTGCAACAGGTTGAATATGTTCTGACCTAATAGCATGGCCTCATTTTCAACGCTTTCATGAAATTGGAAGCATTCCCTTTGAAAAGGACTTCAGTGATATCACATGTGTCCTTAAAAGGCCTACCTGATCTGAACGTGACTCAAGCTGGCTGTTTTATGTCCTAAACTGGCTGTTTTATTCGCTTTACGTTTGGTGCTAATTAATTCGATTTTTGACTTATATAGCATAAAGTCTTATCCTCATTGCAGCCTTTTCTGGCCTCTTAGGCAGGAAAGGTCATAAAAATGTGTATAGACTTTGTGATAAGAATACTTGGTCACCCAGAAGTGTTATGTTGTGTTTATTTTAGAGATGTTATTGGAACCGAAATAGAATATACAGTCCTGCAAGTGAATATATTGTCTTAAGTATTAAAGATGTTTTTTTAAAGATCATTATTTTGTGTATTTGGTGTAACAGTATATGTTGACATGCTTTAATGTTCAAAAAACACATTATTTTTCAAATACTGTACATTATTGTAGGTCCTCTATGCCCCGCCTCTCTCAAACACTTCGTTTTCTACAAAGTCCCTCCTTCCGACAAGTGCAGTCTGCTCTGATTGGCCAGCTGACCCAGTGCATTGTGATTGGCCGAACACCACAAGCACTCATCGGAAATGTAACGCCCCTTACCATAATCGCGAGCTTCATCTTTCAAAATAAATGTAAAGACAGAGCCCGAAAGGGGAACAGAGTCGCGTGACAGACACAGTGATGAAGCTGGTATGTGTTTGCAGTACACAAGCCATGGTTAAGATGTGATGTGACGCTCTCTCTCTCTCTCTCTCTCTCTCACTCTCTTGCTCTCTCTCTCTCTCGCTCTCTCAATTCAATTCAAAATTGCTTTATTGGCATGACTGTAAATTATACAATATTGCCAAAGCTTAGTACACATGTACAAAAAGGATAGAAACAAATAATAATAATATAATAACAATAACAATAAGTAAATGAACATCACAGTAATATAATGGAATATTATAACATCTTAG